ACAAATCCTCCCTCATGTTTATTTGTACAAATAGCACAGGAGGACCCCAGCCCCATGCAGATGGCAGCCCCGGGGGGTCGCACCAGTCCTTCTTTCCTCACATTGGCAGACAGAGATATCTACTCTGAAGCTTTTGTAGGGGCCTGAGCACCTTTGGGAGCCTGAGCTGGAACTGAAGCTGGAGCTGCAGCCTGGGCCTTGTTTTGATCCTTGGACTTGGCCTTGACTTTTGGCCGGCAGAGCCTGAGCCCCTTGGCAATGCGTGCACGAGCACGCTTCCCAAGCTTGGGGTGGGCAGTGTAGGCAAGTCGATCAAGCTTGCGGCTGACACCCCGCTTTGGGATGTTGGGCTTAACCTCCTTGGGCTTTACGAGAGCCTTGATGGCCTCGGCACGTGCACTCATGGCCTTGGCATTGTTGGCCTGTATCTTCTTTAGACCCTTCTTGTTGTGCTTCTTGGCAAAGCGCATGTTCCTCAGGAACTTGGGGTCCACCCCCTTAAGAGATTCGTATCTTTGTGATCGGGGTTTCTTGATACCATTTCTGTGCCATTTTTGGGACCGGTTGTGTGTTGTGTGGCTCTTGGACTTGGCCATGTCTGCACCTAAGCTGTGGTTCCCTGGATTTTTTAAATTTTTTGTAGAGACAAAGTCTCAATAGATTGCCCAGCTGGTCTTGAACTCCTAAGCTCAAGTGATCTTCCTGTCTTGGCCTCCCGAGTGCTGGGATTACAGGCATGAGCCACCATGCCTGGCCAAAAGGGAACTTCCTAACGTCTATTCCTCTTTTATTTTCTCTTTTCTGTATTACCAAAGGGATCTAGAGCCTTATGGGTACTACTTGGGAAATGAGAACTCATACTCGTCTGGAAATACCTTGAAAGAAATCACAAATACTCCTTCTGTTTCACTTCCATATTGCTGAATTGCCTCTTCATCTTCTGTCACCATAACAATTGGCATCCTGTCCTGGCAGTGATGATAGTACCAAACAGCCGCGTTGTATATGCTCCTGGAAAAGCAAAGGGCAAGTGAGCCTTCCCCAGGCAGACAAACACAAGCTCTTGTTCAGAATTTCACATCTGGCTTTTAATTTGCTATCCTGCCACCATGCCCTGCCAATCCCTGGCTAATTTTTAACTCCTTGTACAGATGGGGTCTCACTATGTTACCCAGGCTGGTATCAAACTCCTGATCCTCTCAGGTCTATAATCCCAGCACTTTGGGAGGCTGAGGTGGGCGGATCACGAGGTCAAGAGATCGAGACCATCCTGGCCAACACGGTGAAACCCTGTCTCTACTAAAAATACAAAAAAAAAAAAAAAATTAGCCAGGCATGGTGGCGCGCATCTGTAGTCCCAGCTGCTCAGAGGCTGAGGCAGGGGAATCGCTTGAACCCGGGTGGCAGAGGATGCCGTGAGCCGAGATCATGCCACCGCACTACAGCCTGGGCGACAGAGCAAGACTGTCTCAAAAAAACAAAAACAAAAACAAAACCTCCTGATCCTCTTGCCTCAGCCTCCCAAAGTACTGGGATTATAAGCATGAGCCACTGTGCCCAGCTTTCAAGGTAACTTCTGAGGCACATTCCGTGTGGCTCCTCAGCAGCACTGATGCAGCCTTTGTTCCCCACAGATGCGGCACGTGCTTCTCCATCTTCCCTCCGTCTCCATCTCACTCTCCCTGCTCCCTCATTCCTGCTTCTGGGAATTGCTTTCCACATAAACACTCCACATTCAAGGGCTTGCTTTAGGCTCTGCTTTCAGGCAGACTTAAACCAGGACACTGTCTTTCCTGAAGCAGCTTTTTCAGAATGAAATGACCAGCTGCAGTTGAGTAAGACTGGAAGTAGGAGCCTGGCCAGGCACAGTGGCTGGCACCTATAATCCCAGCACTTTGGGAGGCCAAGACAAGCGGATCGCTTTAACCCAGGAATTCCAGACCAGCCTGGGCAACATACTGGGACCCCATTTCTTCAAAAAATACAAAAACTAGCCGACTGTGGTGGCACATGCCTGTGGTCTCAGCTACTTGAGAGGCTGAGGTGGGAGGATCACTCAAGCCCAGAAGGTGAGTTGTGATCATACCACTGTATCGGCCTGGGTGACAAAGCAAAAAACCCTGGCTCAGGAAAAACCAACAAAAACAACAAAAACCCCCAAAAACAAAACAAAACCTGCCTTCCGCATACATACACATACATACAACATATATAAAATACACACGTTAAAGTTATGACTTCTAGGTCACGGGAATGATCCTGTTGGCTGCTAGGTTCTGGGGCAAACATAGTCTGGGTACCTAACTCTTCCTAACTACAATTAAAAAATATATATATATATATATATATATATATATCAGTTATGCATTTAAATGATATATCTAAAATATGGACATGGTAAGCATTTCGGTGTTAATCACGGTTCCAGAATAATTGTTCGTTTGGTCTAGCATACTATTCAGATGAACTCCCAAACAGCAAATGATGAGGAAATGAAAGACGACAACGGTATGAAAGCCACAGCAAGTCAGGGCCGTACCTGGTCTGCCACTTCTCCATGGACTCTCCTCTTTCCCGAGGCAGATAGCAGCATTGCTGGAATTCATTAGCAAAGAGGATGCAATCATGACGGGCATCCTTCAGCAGGTTTCGCAGCTTGTTATACTGTCTGTGACAGGGAGGAGAAAAATTAATCTAACGAAGCAGGTCCTCATCTGCCGCCGTCTCTTACTAAGGGTCAAAAAAGGATGGGGCGTTTTAGAGCAAAAGATTGATTACTTTAAACCTGAAAAACGTGGTTTATATTGGTCTCAGTGTGCTCAGTGCTCAGTATCGGGTTGCCACGGTTTCTCGATTTTGCCTGCTATATCGTGCCTGGGCAGGGCCTAGTTAATTAGTTTGCAGATCAATTAAACTCCTTTTCTTCTTTCCCCTTCAGAGACTTCTAGTCATTTTGTTATGTAATTATACTGCCTTGTCCTGCCTCGCCTCCTTCTTCAAAGCCTGAGTACACCGAGGCAAGCAGAGAGTTTAGGACTTTATTTTTGGACCTCACTTTGTTCTATAAATACCATTAAGCATTAATATATTTGATTTTTTGCTGGCAGCCCTAGAAAAGAACGTGCAAGGTAAATACGTTTGGTGATTTATCTGTGAATTTTATTTATGCTGCCACCACGATTTACATAAGTGAGAGCTAGCCTCATCTGTCAGACAACTAACAGAAAGTTTTAAGGTTTTGCCCATCAAGAGATCCTTTCCACAGCCGAGGAGAGACAACAGTTTGAGACCAGGAGTTAACACCTGCATGGGCAACATAGGGAGATCTTGTCTCTACCAAAAAATACAAAAATTAGCCAGGTATGGTAGTGCACACCTGTAGTCCCAGCTACTTGGGAGGCTGAGGTGGGAGGATTGCTTGAGCCTGGGAAGTCAAGGCTGCAGTGAGCTGTGATTGTGCCATTACATTCCAGCCTGGGGGACAGAGCAAGACCTTGTTTCAAAAAACAACAGCAAAAAAAGATCCTTCCCACAATGCTGGCCGAAGTCACAAATCAAACATCAAGTCTTCTAGGGGTCAGTTTCTAAGAAGGTGCTTTTCAATAGTCTAGGTAATACGAAATTACAGAAAACACTCAGTTATGTTAAAGGGAGCCAACTGCTTATTTAAAGAAAAATTGCGGGGCGTGGTGGCTCATGCCTGTAATCTCAGCACTTTGGGAGGCTGAAGCAGGGCTGCCTGAGCCCAGGAGTTGAAGACCTGCCTGGGCCACATAGCGAGACCTCATCTCTACACAAAATAAAAATGCAAAAATTAGCTGGGCATATTTGCAAAGGTATATGTCACAACTGAAAAAAAAAAATTAGCTGGTCGTGGTGGTACATGCCTGCAGTCCCAGCTACTCAGGAGGCTGAGGCAGGAGGGTCCTTTAAGCCCAGCAGTCTGAGGCTGCAGTGAGCTATGATTAGGCCACTGCACTCGAGCCTGGGCAACAGAATAAGACCCTGTCTCTAACGAAGTAAAAATAAAATAAAAATGGATTCATATTAAATCAGCTTTAACATGTGTTTTAATAAATAGCACTTGTACCCTTCCTTCCATACCTCTAGTCTGCCATCATAGGTTTTAAAAATTGAGTCTTTTAACTGAAGCAAAGGCAGAACTCCCTAATAAATCTTGTTAAATGCGTAAACACTGACCACCAATCTGTGTGGTCTTTTTTTTTTTTTTTTTTTTTTTTTTTTAGACAGAGTTTCGCTCTTGTTACCCAGGCTGGAGTGCAATGGCGCGATCTCGGCTCACCGCAACCGC